GGAAGTAGAGTCTTTGTCGGTCTTTCTTGACCACCATGTCTGTTTGTAATGTCCAGGACAGATCCTTAGTAATGTGAACACCAATGAACTTGAAGCTGCTGGCTTGCTCCACCTCAGGGTTGTTTATGTAGATGGTGGAGTGCTGGCCTCCACGTTGTTTCCTGAAGTCCACTATCATCTCCTTGGTTTTGCTGACATTTAGATGGAGGTTATTTTCCTGACACCAGCTGGTCAGTGATTTCACCTCATCTCTGTAGGCACTCTCATGATGGTGATGAGGCCCAGGACAGTGGTGTCCTCAGCATACTTGAGGATGACAGAGCTGTGCTTGGCAGTACAGTCATGTGTAAATAGTGAGTACAGGAGTGGACTGAGGACACAGCCCTGAGGTGTACCGGTGCATGGAGGAGAGGTGACTGCTGTCAATTCTCACTGCCTGTGTTCTGTTGGTGAGGAAGTCCAGTATCCAGCAGCAGATGAACTTCTCCAGGTCTAAAGTGAGCTTGGAGATCAGTTTGGAGGGGATTGTGGTGTTGAATGCTGAGCTGTAGTCAATGAAGGGCATTCTCAAATATCTCCAGATGGCTGAGGGAAGTGTGAACTGCTAAAACAATGGCATCCTCAGTAGACCTGTTTGCTCTGTATGCAAACTGTAGAGGGTCCAGTGTGTCGGGGAGGGAGGCACAGATGTAAGTCTTGATAATTTGCTCAAAGCACTTCATGATGACAGATGCGAGTGCAATGGTCTGAAAGTCCTTAAGGCAGGTTGCTGCAAAGGTCTTTGGCATGGGGACAACAGTGGTGGTCTTAAAGATGGTGGGAACAATAGACTGATCAGAGTCAGGTTAAAGATGTTGGTGAACACTGGTGAGTTGGTCAGTGCACACACTCGGCACCTGTCCTGGGATGCCATCAGGCCCCGTTGCCTTGCGAGTGTTTACCTTCTTGAACGCCCTTCTCACAGTAGCAGTGTCTATACAGAGTGTGGCATCCTCACTGTTTACTTGTGGTCTGGTGACGTGTGTGATGTTGTTTGCATCAAACCGGGCGTAGAAGGTGTTGAGCTCGTTCGAAAATGATGTGCTGGACAGCTCCACAGACCTGTTCCTTCTCTTGTAGTCTGTGACGCAGTGTAGTCCATGTCACACGCACCTCACATACTGTATACATTATTGTTCTGTGAGAAAATCCAGCTTGGACGTGTTTTCATTAAAGGAGTTTGTAGGGTATTGTTCAGCATCAGTCTGGTGTGGAAGGCACTGTTCCTGGGAGTGGAAGGACTGATGATCTTTAGAGGGGGCTTCAGTCCAACTTTTCCAGCTTCACTGAACCCAGACAACCATCTATTGTCATCCAACTAAATAAAGTATACAAGTAAATATTTGCCTACAAATTCATTAGCTGAGTTTATGAACCAGATGACTAAACTAAAGGAACAAATTCCCCAACCTGTATTTTTAAATCTGCACCATTTGTCCAATCTTAGCCTGCAGTGTACTTGTATTCACACACACTCCTGCCTCAGGCCTTTCTGTGCATGTTCTCCCTGTGCATGAGTTTTCTATGGGTTCTCTGGTTTCCTCCCACAGACCACAAGCATGCATGTTCTGTAACTCTACATTGTCTCTAGGTGTAGGCGCATGCGTGAACGGTAGTTTGCCTCCATGTGGCCCTCGGATGGACTTGAGACCTTCCCAGGGCGTACCCCACCTTTTGCAAAGTGGCCACTGGAGCTTTATCACCGGCTCCCTGAAACCCTGCATGAAAAAGCAAAAAAAAGACAAGTGAATTTTAATATAACTAAATGTTCTGCTGGGTCCTGAAGCAGTCATTTGGAAACTTATAATGGGGCAGAACATTTCACCTCACCAAACCATTAAAGCTTGCAAGTAAAAGCCTTAAGGAACATGAACCAAAAACTACCCAGATTCCATTCACAAATATTATTCCAGTGTTCTGCTTTGTAAAGGCATTATTTTACGTTTTAAACCTCCTTTAGTGGATTTATAACGGCATCCACTTGGACGTTCTCTATCATTCCACTCAGGAACCCTCTGAAACAAACAAACTGTTGACTGTACTCAAAGTATTTGCCGCCTACAAAGACACCACAGTGTGTCCTCTGAACCACCCCATTGCAGGTCAGGGCTGATTAAGTGTGGGGCATATGGCAACGTAACTCCTCCTGAATTCAGCTATGACTAGAAACTGACAAGAACCAGAATAAAATGATCAAAAGTTGTAAACATCTAAACAAAACAGAGTAATTAAAAACATGCAGAACTCTTGGCAGCACCCAAATCAGCCCTGACACCCACAAGTGGAGTTGTTTTGTTGCATGCAAGGACCACATGCTCAGGTCTAAAGTATCAGTCTGGGTGTTCTCCATTCGTCCCTCCATCAGGGAACGGGGTGTTGGGTTATGTGCCAGTTTCTAATCTGATGGTTTAGGCAGAAATAGAGGCATCCACAAGAATCAACGATGTATCCCAAAGCCTTAATCTGTGTTGCCATCTGCTGTGTTCACACACTTAATGCAGTTTCCGCTCTGTTTATTCTTAGTATGCAAGTCAGCTTCGGGGGCATGTGGAAACCAAATCCCTCTATGAATCTCCGCCACTGAACGAGCTGAAAGCATTTTCCTTAGACTACAGTCAGTTTTCTCTCAATAGTTCAAGCAGAAAAAAAGGTGGGGGGCTTTTGCTGAGACTCCGCTTACTATTCCTTGTTCGTCGTCGTGCAATGAAACGGCTCAGATGATATAAGGAGAAACTATTTGATGAGGGGGAGAAGGAGGCGGCAGGGACTGAGGGAGAAGATGAAAGCTGAGGGGAGACTGAGGCAGTCTGTTGGTCGGGGAACAAGGGAGGAGAGGAGGATGATGATGGGTGGACTCTGCCACAAGGCGTGGGAGGGAGACAACGATGGGGATGAAGGCGGGGTGTGTTGGTATGGATGGAGGGCTCTGGGGCGAACAGAACTCTTGGTTATGTAAGAGCAGTATTTGGGTTTTAAATGAATCTCGCTCTTCCTGTGTGCTGGCTGTTGAGCTGTTATACTTGGCACAGGAAGAAC